AAATTCAAACCGAACCCTAGGACCTTCCCTCATTTTGTAGAACACTCCATTTACTTGTTTGGCCCGGCATGGCCAGGGGGTTAGGACGCTCGACTCGCAATTTGCGGGTCGCGGGTTCGCATCCCCGTCCCACCAAACATGCTTGCCATTTCAGCTTTGGGGGCGTTATAATGTGACGGTCAATCCCACTATTCGTTGGTAAAAGAGTAGCCCAAGAGTTGGCGGTGGGTGGTGATGACTAGTTACCTTCCCTCTAGTTTTTCACTGCTAAATTAGGGACGGCTAGCGCAGATAGCCCTCGTGTAGCTTTGTGCGAAATTCAAAACAAAATAAACTCTGACCCCTGTGAAGAGTTTCCAACAACAATTGTAAGCATACATGAACGAATCTCACGTGTTCTTGAATAGTTTGATTGTTGGTTTTTCTGATTGTCAATTTTACTTTCCATATCTAAAATCATCACAAAGACCTAACGCGTTAAATACTTACTAAAAACTTTTGGTAATTCAAAAAGTGTTAAAAGTGCCTTAAGTGATAGTTAGTGGGCTAGTCCTTTAATCCAGTTAGAAGAACAATCGCCTGACAAACGAATGTTCCCGGGTATGATCTTGACCCTAATAAATTCAAAATAAGAATCCTACCGAAAAAGCTGGAAATCCAGTGATGCTGAATGCTGAGACAAGACCCAAGGACAGACCTTGTTTATCAGAAAGGAAGAATATAGTAGTATGAATAATTAGAAAGTACACTTTATGGCTAAGGGTGGAAAAAAAAAAAAAGGTCCAACTTTAAGGTCAGTCAGTAAACTACCAACACTTCATGAAATGTAGTTCGGTTGAGGAAAAACTTCGGATCTAGGGTTCTTTTATATTATAAACTACTTCAATTAAGCCTGAACACAAATCACTACATTTCTTCGTTGAGGCTGAAAATGGAAGTCATTATTGTCAAACTGTGGGCTTTGCTTTATTGTGAACTTGCAGAGTACCCGATGTTGCTCGAATGAAAATGGCTTTAAATATCCCGAGTTGTTTTGATTAAATCGGCCATATTAATCGTAATTTTTTGAAAAAAATCAAAATGGTTCTTCACCTACCTAAATATTTTAATTAAAGTCAATAACAAAAATGTGCGAAAAAAAATTTGCTAATGCTATTTTCAATTAAAGCAAAACCGTGTACATTGCTCCTGCTTCTTGCACGTGTTTTGCATGACATTCCAAGTTTCCAAAACAAAATTCCCTAACTTCTGGTATTCTGATTTTTGCTGTGTGGTCAAGTGTCGTTTGCAGCGGATTCTGACTTGACTTCATTATCGTTCCGTTTAACGAAGAATTGATTAATTCTCTTCTCGTTGCAAAACAATGTAAATGAAAAATTGCCGATACCAAACGTTTTTGTAAAGTCATCGTATAGCTGATTCTTGCGAGTACACGAAAGCAAAGTAAAAGAATGGCTGAAGCAAGCCTATTTTGTTGAAGGAATGTGGCCGCGTGTTCGAGAGAAAGCTAAGCGACGATATATATTTTGATTATTACCAAACAAGGAGTGTGAAAGCGTTCTCGACAGAGTGACAAAGGGAATAAGTCTTTTATAGTTAGTGATTGCTAAAAGGTTAACCCTTTAACTCAGTTGGTAGAGTATTCATTAGGAGAGATGACTAGTTCAAGCTTGTATGACGGGAGATCCAAACATAAGTAAACCACCTCGTCCTATAAACGAGATATAACACGCGCCGCGTGTGATAATTTTTTTGTCTATAGAACTATGGAAATACTCAGTAAGTCAGAGTTTATTAATAATGGAACAATACTTTCGAAGTTCGAAAAAATCTGGTGAGTTTTTCACTTTACAAATTGTTTGAATTCTAACTTTTCAAAAGCTTTTGCGGCCTTCGCAAATATAAATTTATTCACATTTGCCAATGTTTGAGCTATACAGATCAATCGAACGACAGCGAAAATATTACCGTCTCTCAAAGCTAATATGTTACTGTTACATTCAATCATAACACATTAGAAGACTATCAAAAAGCTAATATGTTATTGTTACATTGAATAATAATACATGAGAAGACTATCAAAAAGCTAATATGTTATTGTTACATTCAATAATAATACAATAGAAAAATATCACAAAGCTAATATGTTATTGTTACATTCAATAATAATACAATAGAAGAGTATCACAAAGCTAATATGTTATTGTTACATTCAATAATAATACAATAGAAGAATATCACAAAGCTAATATGTTATTGTGACATTCAATAATAATACAATAGAAGAATATCACAAAGCTAATATGTTATTGTTACATTCAATAATAATACAATAGAAGAATATCACAAAGCTAATATGTTATTGTTACATTCAATAATAATACAATAGAAGAATATCACAAAGTTAATATGTTACTTGTACATCCCATTATAACATAGTAGAGTAATATCTTAAGACTTCATAATTCACTATCACATCCTATGATTACGCGTTAGTTTCATTTCATAAAAATATATTTCATTTCCTTATTTTGATATAATATTTTTGTTATATTATAAGATGAGATGTCACCCTCATGCCCTGAGATAAAATATTACTTCAATATTCTAAGCTCATTGCCAAGAAGGCTGATTTACAACACTTGTTTTCCTCGTTATAAATACACAATGTTTCTAGACTAAAGCGGAGAAGAAGCGTGGATTTTTTAATTCTATCGGTGATAACGTTAATATAATAAGCATACTAATCGCACATTAGTTTTGAAGATACTGTTCCCTTGCAACGATTTGAACCAGGAAACTAATGCAAAACGAGTGACACGAAAAACTAGCCTATGTAACAATATTCACTCAAGGTAGCACACAGTTTCAAGTTTTAGTAGCGGCTTCGCTGTTAAAATTCGTTACAAAAAGGAATATTTTGCATGGCAATATCACCGGACAAACAACTCTAAAAGTCATGGTTCGATTTCCCTTGGTGGGCAGAGTTCAGATAGCCAATTTTGTAACTTTGCGCTCAAATAACTTTATGATTCCTACTAGTGTTTTAAGTTCTAAAGAATATCCGCGTAGAAAGATTATTTTACGGTCAATTAGTACTGTTGTTATCCGGCATTGAATTAAATACACGTTTGGATAAATCCTAATTTGATCAAAAAGTAATGACAAAATACAAAAATAGCAACATTCCCCTAAAAAAAAAGTAGTTAATATTGATTGATAGGATGGTAAACAGATTTTGAAACATAAATTTTTGAACAACAGACTTATATCCTGCTTGTAATTTATTTATACATAAATACTGTGCTATAGCCATTCACAGTATTTTTCTATCTAAGGGCGTATCACCAGAACGGTCTTTGTTAGCGTCTCGAAACGTGATCTCTGTTTTGTTTTCTATCAGGAGCGGATATTTCGAGTCCTGTCTGGTTGGTCTATTTGCTGATTGTGTGTTTTCGTCAACATAGAACATTGTTTAAACCACGAGTTGTTCGGCATTAATTTTACAAATCAGGATCTGGAGTTTAACTCGAGATATGTGGTAATTCGTTTTGCGTCTCTCGCGAATATGATTTTTGTTTTAGTATTTATGTGCAAAGCTACGTAAAAGCTACTTTTGTCTAATCGAATATTGGAATTTGGTTCAGAAGTGTGAAATACGTTTTTGCGGTAATTGGTCGCGAATTCACAATTTGGGCGTGCTATCCCTAAACGCCACGCCATTACCTGAGCAGGATTGACCTCGGGGTGAGAGTTTTACCAATTAAGTTAAAGGGTTAATTCATCAGCCATCGCTAGTAAGACACTTTTTAACACCTCACATTCCAATGCTAGAAACCGGGTTTCGATAACCTATTTGTAGCTTTGTGCTTAGCTACACACAAACAAAAACACCTCACGTTACCACAAATACATAGTTTATTTGTCGGGATGTTTGCATACCTGCCCTATTTTGATTTATTTTTGGGAATTAATTATCATTCTGTATGAAATATTGAAATTATTATATTTTTTAAACAAACTTACACATTTTAAAGTCAGAATATCAAAGTTTATCTTTAACTTATAATTCGTTCATTAAAAAATTAATTTTTGTAACATTATTTAATATTTGTTTTATGTTAACTATTTAACACTATGTTTTGTTTTGTGAACACAGAACATTACGTAGGGCCGGGTGTGTCTAAGTGGTTAACGTGTCGGACTGCGAATGGAAAGGTTAGAGTTCGCGCTGCGATCTCCCTATTAACATGCTCCACACTTTCAGCTATTGGTGAGTCATAAGAGTGGCAGTCAACCTCGTTATTTAGTTCGAGGCTGGAAATATTTGTCGTGGCATGGCAGCTGTTTCTTCTTTCCTTCTTGTCAGTAGCTCAAAATTAGTGACGGTTGTATCTTAATCCTATACGTTTCTGATTTGATCGTTTAAATCACGTGAGAATAAGGTGTTTGCTGGTCGTGTTAAAAATTCCAAAATAGCAATTGACACATAGCAATATATATATATAATATTTAGAATAAGTTTATACGATATGATTTACATTTTTTGGACGCTTATCACAATAAATTACTTCCTGCTTCATACATACATAGTTTGTAGTATTTTCCTTAATATTAATAACATTTAATTGCCAAAGATAGCGCGAAGTGTTTCAGAAATATGTAAAATATTAATTTTATAGAATATTTATAAATAACGCTATTTCAGAAGTTTTACCTGTCTGACGTTGGTAAAAATCCGAATTTCTTGCACACTGTAGAAAACACAAGCAAAAACTCTAATGGACTGCAACTGCCTATTAATTAAATTAATGTAAATGGGACGATATTTTGACAAGCAGTTGAAGTATATCAATATTCTCAAACCTTCTACGCCTACTCTGCTTGAAGTTCCGCTGAAACAAAAGCAATAACTTACTTAGCAGATACTATAAAACCAATCGAAACTCTAAGCCGCAGAAATAAAATGTTAACTAAACAGTAACAAAAAATATATTTCTACCTTGAATTTGGTAACACGGTTAGGTATATATATACAGTTATGATAACAAGGAAACACACGCATCGGCTTAAAACGTCTCATCAACTTTACTATCATTGGATAATTTGCTATATGTGTTTAACCAATGAGAGAAAACATAGTGCGGGTTTTTTTTCCAGACTTGCGTTTTCGCGGAAGGATAATTTAGATACGTTTAACACGTTCTGTGCTTCACTGATGACATAAATAAATATCATGATGTTAAAAATGTATTCATACAAAATATTCCCAGATAGATAGGAGAAACTTAATCACCTGAAATCCAATCATGTTCGACAAATAAGGTCTTGTTGTCTTGTTTCGGTCATTGTACAGTATGTTACCTCAGGTTGTTCTTTTTTTTTAGATATTATTTTCATTTGTTTGTTTGTGTGTGTTTGTATCTTTATTAAAAACATCATTAAAACTTCATAGAGTAAAAAAAAGAGAGCCAACGTATTTATACTTATATTTAGATTTAAAAACTACCCACTCTTCTGGAGTTAAAAAAAATAAATAAAACTAGCACGTTAATAGCAGGTTTTTATTTCAATATCTAGAAGTTTTGATAAATTACTACCAAAAATATTGATGTTTACTCTACGAAAACAAATTTTTAACCTCCAAGTTACCAGTTGTTTGTATGTCGTTTAGTACCGGTTAGTCGACATATTGCATCACGTACAGTAAATGTACGCTTCTGCCTATTAAAATTAATGACTGAAACCACTCATTTCCCATTGTAAGAGACACAGGTAACCCTAATGTAATTAATCGCGATATTCGTGATATTTTTGTTTACATTTTTTTTGTGTGACGAATGGGACTGGAAAGGATAACGTGGATCAGTGGCTTCGCACTTTGGTTTGGTAATCATGTGGTTGCAAGGTTGATGCTGGCTCGCGGCATGCTGTTGTGTCCTTGAGTAAGACACTTTACCCCACATGTTCCTGTCTACCAACCTGTATGATATGTAAGTACCTAGATGTTTGCGAATCAGCCAGACATTACTTTCCAATACCTAACCTCAAGCCATACCACATTACACTTCGCATTGAAGCCCGTAAGAGGAAAACAGAATCTTCAGAAATACACTAGAAATCCAACACATAAACTGTCAAGGTGTTCTTGAAATTCCACAGTTATCGCACTACTGCTAGAGGATTATCTCTTCACACCCTACTGGAAAACAGTAATATGCACTTCATCAACCCTAACCACCCAACACACTATCATACAGCCACTGACTCGTACGATCTTTTAGATCTTGCTATAATCCCCGATTCTATCCTAACTTACTCCCGGAACTTCTCTCTACACCTTGCTGTGTCCAGGGACCATTCTCCTATTTCTTTCACTTTACAAGTTAAGAGACAGTTCATCCCTTGAAACCTCCCATCAGTTTTCAATTACACGAAAACCGACTGGAACATTTTATTAGACACTCTCCTACCTAACCCTATCACCATGATAACTTGCAAAAGTGACCTTGACAGTTACGTAGAAAAGGTCACAGATATCGTTACCCATGCAACTAAAATGACAATCCCTATATCAAGCCCGGCATGGCCAGGTGGATAAGGCGCTCGACTCACAATCTGAGGGTCGCGGGTTC